GTCTGAAAAGATTACTCAAAGTGGTTCTTGTATAAGTGAGTCACTTATAAACTTGTAATCTTCATTCACCTGTATGATGTCCTATAAGATCTACTTTAAAGTTCTGTATAGAAATTCTGTTGATATAATACTTCAAACATTATTGTATACTATGTATGCTTCTTTCAACTAATATTTAATATTGTCATCATCACTTGGCCGTTTCACCTTTATTGATTGTTACTTTTTCTTTCCAAATTACATAAATCCGACAAAACATTTGGTGGTATTCTTAAGCTTAATCTGTCCTGTTGAACATATACCTTGCTAAAATGTTATTGTTTGAAATACATTTTTAATCAATTTCTTCATAAGCGCTGTTTGACTTATCAGTGCTGTAAAAAACGTTTGGCATTATTTCTCAATGGATTAATTTCACAAGATACTAACGATTTAGAAAAACATAGTCACATCAGAATTTGAAATGATTTCTGTTCACTTAAAATTTATAAATTTAGTTGATAAAATCCAAATTACTCGAAGCTCTTAGAATAATTAATAGAATGGAATGCATTTAATAGCGTAAAATTTCCCAGGTCTATCAAATTGTAGTCAACAGTGCACGTGTAACTGGTAAATAGACGAACAAGCAAAGCATATATCCTAGTGATTTCAAATGAGAAAGACCCATAACCTCATCACCAACTAAACATTCTGGTGGATTCCATCCATTTATTCACAATTTGAATGACAAAAAACTGTGTTTGTACTATAGAATTAAATGCTATAGTCAATGAATAAATCCTATTTACAAACTTCATTACCGCATACAGTGAAACATACAGTAGTAGGGCGTATAGCATATTTAAAACATCTGACGTCACAAAACGGGAATGATTTACATTGGTACAAATACCAAGTTTGGAGTTATGTTTATTTAATTGTGAGTACACATTAATGTATTGAATTTGAATAAATAAATAAAGCACATAATTATGTGTAAAGAACTTGTTATTCCATACAAACACCACAGACAGCCATAAACATATATATTTTGTATTTCTGAAATCAAACGATCAGAAACTGCGCAGTTATTTAATAACAACTTCTATAAAGAAAAAAGTCCTCGTGGTCGAAAATCAAAGGACATGAATATTTGTTGTTGAAGACGGCTTTTTGAGAATATAGACTATAGTTCAAAACATCGGGTTATTATGATAATTAGAAGTATCAGAATTTACGTTCTAACTAAAAATTCCCGAAATAGTGCTATTTAGGGAATGTAGAACTAGATGAGCACAACTGAACGTATTATATTTAGAATTCTTAGCCAGCGCACAATCAAGTACAAAGGAATCATCAGTTAGTATAAATACCACAGATGTGTTAAACACCTTCAAACATTTAATGTTTTTACTAATCCTAAGTATGCTAACTCTTGAACCAAGTGACCGTTGTGAGTGAATTATTTAGATGAATTTTAAAAATGTTAGTTATTATACATGAAAACATTTGGCTCAAAACGGCTATACAAATAATAATCTGTGTTTAATTTCTTAAATTGTACAAATGACGGGAAATGAGTATACTTTTCAAACAATGATTATTATATGTTTTTATTTGGTCCACCACAACATATACGGTATGACCACTGGAATATAGTAAAAATAAGAAAATATTGAGTCATTAATCTACAACTTGAACGACAACAATATTTTATTATATTATTATTTCTGTATTCCATATAGTTACATGATTTGGCCGGTATATAAATTAACAGTGCGAACAATTCAATGAGAACGGTATCATATTGAGTTGAAAAAATCAAAGTTTCTATTCGAAATCATCCTTTTACATATATGAAAAGACTATTAATACAGGAGAATCTTGCGATAGTGTGACTGCCAAACATAATAACCTTACTGTTAATACTACCGATGAACATATATTTTATTAGTTTAACTATATAGTTCCAGAAACAAGCACGATTATGTCTTATAGTCATTATAAATTAAACCGAAGTAAGTGATGATGGTTATCCTATTCTTTTGATCAAAATTGCTTACTGATGAGATAACTGACATCTATTACTATATTTACACTCTAATATGTAGACAATACTTTAACAGTCCGAATAACTTCCTGATTTGTTGAAAGTTAGTTTAATATTCAATGTCAGTATACTGTGAAATGTTTATATACTATCATAAAAGTTTCTGAAACCACTTATTTTCCATTAAATAGACTTGACGTTTCGTGTGGGAAACAGATATTCACATATTTTATTAACCATAAAAATAGGGTCATTCTTCTTTCATCTAACTGAAGATTCACTGTAAGTTCATTTGGACGTGAATAATGGAAGAAACACTTAATCCCTGCCTCCTTAGTTTAAACTAAAACGGTCAAAAACGGAAAATCTCTAAAATTATTATTTATAGTTTGAATTAGTCTATGCTTATTAAATGCAACTCGTATTTCTCAATAAATTTTTGAAATATAATAGATTTAGTACCGTATATTATTAATTATGACATCATTAAATTGTTAAATTAACTGAAACTGTGTAAATAAAAATCCTACTTATGATTACAAAGTACAAAACAGAAATCTGTAGTTCACTAAAACTAGAAATTCTATCAACAATGTGTACGCAGACTGCTACTAAAGAAAACCTAAATTATAGCTTGGTTATTGTTGACCTTTAACCTGTCATTGTCTACTTAATTATTTTGATTTTGTCTCCCATTGACCAAGAATCAAATTTATTTGATGTTGTTCAGAAGAACAATGAAAGCTCCACGAACAAACAATCTAGCTTAGAGAATAAAACTCCAATTAAGTCATCGACCTGAGCTACAAATTTTCTCCACCACCAAGGACACCAATTCACATTTGATGGTAATTATGGTGGACAGATTTTTAAATGAGTCATGGGCAATGTTACTGGAATTATTCGTGCTACAATTTTTCATTCTGGTTTATATTTTACTGAAAAAATGTTTGTCTCAGAAGGAAGAGGATTTATCAGAAAAATTTACACAATTCAATCTCGTGTCACCCATCAACACAGTCAGAGATGTTACCACTGAGCCATTTGGGCCGCGACTGACCTTCGATAGGACTGAGAGGTATTTACAAGTGATTGGTCACTGGGTAGTGATCAATTTCATGTGTGTCAAGTCCTTTTTAGTGTACATTGAATTCTGTTAACCAAATTGCAATGTGGACACCAGTCTAAATGATTCGACATTGTGTGCACTATGCTGAGATAAAATGATACCATCAGTTCTTTCAAGGTCACAGGTACATCTTTGTAACACGAAACCTAGGTTCAGAGTTCGCTACTGACTATCCCCAACCAACAACTTAACACAGTGCACGAGATGTCGAGTCACCTAGACTAGTCTCCGCATTACAACTTGGTCGATAGAATTCGATTCGCACTAAGAAGGACTTGGCAAACACGACACTGATCACAACCCAGTGATCAGTGAAGTGTAGATACTCTGTGTATACTTGACCCAGACTGTACGTTTAATAATGATGGCAGTTAACTTACATAACGTAGGGTGAGCGGAATAATAATGTAGTTGTCGATCACAACAGATTTTAGATAAAAAGTCAAGTGATGCATGAAGTTACACAAAATATTTGAGATAATGGAAGTTAGACTGCTCAGATGCACAATTTTCGATAAAATATAAGCAGTGGAAATGTAGATGGAAGAAAATATGTACATGGCCACTTCAGAAACAGACTCAGAACCTACATTTTTGTACATATACATCCGCTTCTTTCATCGCTAAGGGATTCGCCTCTGGTATTTAAAAGATTCACAACTCAAAATATATACATTATAACATATAAATGTAGGGTTGCTTGTAAAGTAAAATAAAATTACTAATGTTAATGTTGAAATGACTCATATACAATGTTATTATGAAAATGTTTATACGTTAAGTGAAGTTATGAGATTAAAAATCAAAATAAGTAGGAGGATAACAAATATTACGCAAGAAGCACTCACAAATAGTCACGAGAAAGCCATAAACATGCTCCTGAAAGATGAGAATTTATTGATCACAAACCCTAATAACAGATCAAGGGTCCCTCTTCTCAGCAAAGGTGACCAAATCGACAAAATAAGTAAGATGATGAACGGCAAATTAAAATTTCAAAAACTAACGAACTTAAAGGATTTGAAGGATTCTAAATTCATATGATATAATTTTAAATGATTTAATTGCCTTAATCATTATTGTTAATTGTTAATTTGGATGTGCCAAGATAGTACCTGATGAGAATTTATCGGAAAAATGTACATTATCCGCGTATCTGTATGTAAATATAATGAGAATCCGCATATGGTTCAAAGGTACATCTATAAGAAATGAATAGGTAACTATACGGGAGTAAGATCAAAGTGAATAGTCTGTAAAACATCGTTAGTAAATTCTACGATTATGATATGATTCCCGTAATAAATCATGTAAGTTACTGGAGTCTTTGAGATGTTTAATACGAATTTTCAGTCATGTTGTTCTGTCAGTAGACATAGACTTGTTAGTGGAACATGCAACCTACTATAAATTTTCTAGTATAAGTCCACTTATCGAATATTTTGCGTTGAAAAAACTCATGTTGTCAATATTAATTAATTAAGTTACACAACAAACTCTACATCTACTTTCATCAACCCTAAAGATAACTGAGTTGGAAAGTATTTGCATTGTAGGTATCATTATAAGATAATTAGAGGTATTTGAATTATAGTATAAACTAAGAATCCCAGAAATAACGTAATCGGATCAAAAAGTACTAGATAACCACAAACGAATGTACTGTATTTAGAATTCGAAATCACACATTCAACAAGTACAAATGAATCATTAGTTCATTCAAACACCACATCCGCCACGGCTTAAATTGGAGTTTAGGTATCTGTAATCAGTTGTACGACTTCTTCTCAGGTTCATCATATGTCTGTCCGACATTCTATTGGATAAAAACTTTAATATCTAGAATACACTAATTAATATTAGAATTAGTAATCAAAATCGGAACAGACTCACCTGCTTCCTGAGATTACATAATCAGCATGTCAGTTGTGTACTGAAACCACTGCTACCTAGAATTCGAACTATAGATTTTCTAACCATATCCTCCCCCACGAAATAATGTTGGATCTTCATATCCCCAAGTTATCAACGATGTGGCTCCATTTAAAACATATTTCTCACATTGACTAGAGTAAACATGAGAAGTGACTTTGTGATAAGGATAAACAGCAGTTGATATGAAATCATCCAAATTGTAATCAAAATCGAGCTCACTTAATACTCGTGCTTCACATTGAACAAGTTTCCCACAAGCAACAAATTCATTATGAGGATTAATAATATTTGATATGACATCAAGATTTGATTCTTCTGAAACACTTTCGTCAAGTTTATTAGGAATGTCATTGCAGAGTAAAGGATCATTAGGAAAATCAGCATCTATCAAGACTGCATCAGGCTTTCGATCATGACTAGGTTCATTCAACATATTTTCCTCAGATTTATAAGGAATTTCATCAGAAATATATGAATCGTTAGGAAAAACCATATCTGGTACAATAAGATGAGAAATCTGATAAGTTGATTGATTAGAAACTGTTGTCTCACATGGATTCTGAGTTTTATTTAACTCTGGTCTGCTATGTGACTCTATACTGCTTTTCGAAGTCGTGGATAAAGATAAATGATCGTTAGAAACACCCAAATCAATAGAATCACAACTACAAATTTTAAGATTAGTTGCAGCGGAATGAACTGTAGTATGACATACTGACTGAATGTGTCCTATCTTACCACATTTAAAACATTTAGCATTACGAAATGCACATGAATTACGAGAATGAAATTTGCCACAGGATAAACATTTACCAAACTTGATCTCACCTTTGTGAACTGTATCGCATATCCTCAATGAATTATCTGCATAACGTTGAGTACGCATTTGATTGCAATAACGTAGTAATGTAGCTGAATCCTTGATGTCCTGATGAATAATTTTATGAAATTTCCCTCCCTTACTATATTCGAAATTTGTATACTTAACATAGTGGTTCCTTGAGAGTTGTATAAGGAAGCAAAATGGGCTTTTCCAGCATAGCTAGAGTTCTTAATGAGCTGTATGCTTCTTTTCCAATGAATGTGAGGAAGTGTGCCACAATATTAAAATCCTCAACATCTTCTTTGGTTATAGCCCGAATTTCGAACCTTTCCAACTAATCCTCAAAAACATCAAAATCTGAATGTACATCCAACCGTTCCATCACAGGCTCCATTGCGAAGCCAATGTGATTATTAAGAGTATTTGGATTATAGTACGAACTAAAAATTCCAGAAATAACGCAACTGGATCAAGAAGTACAAGATAAGCACGAACGAATGTACTGTATTTGGAATTCGAAATCAAGCATTCAAAAAGTACGAAGGAATCATTAGTTCATTCAAACACCACAAGTAAATATGTTCGCTTTATTCTTTTGTGCTATTTAAACTTGGATTAATTTAGTTATTTTATTTATTCTCTAAAGAAGTGGCTTACTTTGAGTTACGAAACGTCAGAATGTTGGAAAAATTTAAATTTTCCTACTAAGATGTTACAAATATATCACTCACATTAACAACAACCTAATAATTCTCAATTTATTTAAAATTATCAAGTCAAACTATATTGTCGTTTACTATGTTAAGCCCATATACCTTATTCTAGCTTTCGGACAGGCCAATCCATTCATTCTACTTGAGTCATATTTTGACCTTGTTAATTATCGCTTATCAATCTTGACTGTTTTTATATGAGCGCATATGTGTGTGTACATTTCTTATCCTATTCATCACAAGTCTGCAACTTATTTTTATTTGACTATAAATATTGGTTAATGCTTGGGTAAATGGAGTTGGCTCACATGCCTTTTTCACTGTGCATCATTTCGCTTCGCTCTTTTCTCTTTGCTTCTCCGATATTTTGTCTGGATCAAAGATTCTATGAAATATACGCATTCAAAATTCATTCTCGTATTTGAATTATTTAATTCTGTTATTGACTAACGCGATTTAAGTCGATGATTATATACAAGGATAGACGATAAAAATATTTCAATAACAATCATTTATACGATCTACTTGGAGTCAGATCCTGAGATATTGAAAAACCTTGGTAATAATACCTACAAACTCATTTGAGTAGATTAAATTATTTTCTATTACCTTATATCTCCAAGCATTACAATTTCTGTGATAATTTCGTCTAATTTTCTTTATCATTGCCAAAGTTTATCTGGTAGGTAAATTTCAATTATATGAACATTAGTAGGCAAATATTATTTTGAATTCTTGAGAAAATTTATTAGAAATATTATCATGTTAATTGTATAGTTTACTTTAAACTTTATAAAGGTTGAACGAAAATGTTCCATTGTCTTGATAATATTTTTTGAGATGAAAATCTGGTAAAGTGTGTAATCAGCTATATCAAGTGAACATCTGTATGTTTGAAGCTTAATTTCCCAACCAAAAGTCTCAAATATCCTACATCAAAGTCTTAGAAATATTAACTTGTGATTTCCGTGGTCATATTATTAAAACATCTGAATAGTTGGGAGTACGTTCTTATTGGTATGTGATTTGTTCAAAATAAGGACTATCAAAGCCAAGTTTAGTTAAAAAGTTTCTTTCAACAGCGACAATAACCTATCATTTGATGAGAAATACGTAATTCGATAATAAATATAAAATTAAAAATTAGTCTATGCATGGGAAATTGAATTATCCGATGATGTGAAGTAAAACAATGAAATTAAAATATGAAATCCCAAATAACCAAATCCCTAGTACTACAATTGCCCTCAAATGCCGTGGTACGGCTGAGAGTGGGGAGAGTCAACTCTCCTTCTTGAAATGCTTTCACATGGCCACGTGCATACAAACACTGCCAGAGAAGTCCTACCCCCTGCCTTCCCGCGGTGGGGTTGTTGTTTACGAAATTGAGAGAACGAAAAGCGGATATCTTGCACCTTAACCGAGTTGGTGGATACGGATGATCCACTTAGGGGAGTTGGAAAACCCTGACTCCAAACCAATGATGTACATGGGCTCCAGTATCCTGAGGGATTAGACCTTTAAGTCACAGGTACGGTGACCACAGATGTAGCCAAAGCCTTCGCTTGTTAACTAAAATTCACGAACAAATATATTCACTCGGAGCATCCTAAGCACAATCGCACTATATGAATTACATCCTTAAAATAAGAAAGCAACATTTGAGCATATCTGAACGAACGTTTAATACAGAATTGTTTATCACAATTTCGACTGTTAACCTGTCTTTCATCGAAGACATTGTATGAAATCAGGTCCCCTGTGTGACTGATTAGTATTCTCTAAGCAGATGAGTTAAGTGATCTTGCAGCCATAAGTAAATTTTGTTTGTTTATTACAAGCTATATTAGGAAATAATTTCTATATAGTCAGAATCAGTAGCGACCATTTTATTCATGACATTATAAATTAAGTAATGGGTGATGACCACAAGTTGCATTACAGGCGAACACTAAGAACCGATTCATTTTTCGAGTTATGGATCTTTAGTTTAATGCAAAAAAATACCCGAAAGGTCTCAGAAGAAAAAAATATCGTGTCAAAACTGTAACAATAGATACATTGAGTTGACTGTTTACTAATAACTCAGTAAATATTTTTTCTGTAAGTATTCCATTTGTTATTTAGCGAAGGTGAAGCATGCTTGTATGTGCTTCGATGTCTGACTTCAGTGCTTCAGCTGTATATTGTCGGTAGCTGATAGCGATGTGGTCAACCTCATGCCCAATCCTCCTCCTTTGTCCGGGTTTGGGACCGGCAGTAGCTCTAGAAGAGCTACAGGCGGAGTTCGATCTTCTTCAGTGTTATGTTTATTCAAGATACGATATTTGTGTATTTAATTAACGTGGACTATGCTCAGCACGATTTTCAGCAAGTGATGTGTTACAACCCTGGGTATTTTTCACATATGTGACTTTTCTAATTGATACTCAGAATGGGTGTACAAGAAATTTTAAATAAACAGATTTCAAAATCGCTAAATAAAACGTTCTATGCAGCTAAGATCCGAATCGTTTTCTCAAGCCGGCCTACTATTCTTGGATGTGTTAAGGATAATCTTCCGCTTTGGGCCACATTAATGTGCATCTATAGATTTACTTGCTCATGTGGCGCACATTACATAGGGCGCACAAAACGATCACTGTCCATACGTATCTCAGAACACTATCGGGCTTGGCTTTTAAAAGGTGAATGTAAAACAATTACTAGTTCAATACAGGAGCATTTAATAAACTGTGGACACATCGCTCCAAATAATTCTTTTTTTTAAAATAATCTACAGAGTCAAAAGAATTGAATCAAAGGGGTGTCGAATCAATATTTTATGCACTGCTGAGGCATTGGCAATCCACGAGCTCAAGCTTGTGATAGTTCAACTGTTTTCGTATCGAATCATTGAATAATGAGCAAACACTCATTGTGCACGATTCCGACAAGTACAAATGATTCATTTAAGATGTAGTTGTATTTGATTATTTTCATGTTCTGATCTCCACCTACGACGTCTGATTTTAATGAGTTGTTTAGCACGAATTGGGCATCTGTCACCTGAAACGTGTAAAAATATGTTTGGGAAAGTGAGTTGACGTCTCTGAGAGAGAAAGGAGTTTCATCACTGTCTATCATCGTTCGAAGAACAATGGGAAAGCAATAACCGTTAAGCATTTGGTCAATCCAAGCTTTCGACATTGTGCGTTACTTGCACTTTCAAGTAAATAGGTCGTCAAACACGGAATCATCACTTCTAACGGTGTTTACAGATCTGCGTTTCACCGTTATAATCTTTATTATAGAACAGTCATTACCGCTTAGGCTGGTGGCTCTTCAATTCGATCGATGCATACTATTTTAAGTTCAGTTTCATAAATCTTATAACCAATTCAAGTCTTATCTGTTGAAGAAGACATCATGACTACGGAGTCAGGAAATGGGATTTTCAGTGAATGTGGGTATTAACTGACTACTGTTTGACCTACAAGTTCAAAATAAATCAGTTTTCTATTGACTGAAGATAAGAATTCCGTAGTACGTTTTAAATTCCAATAGGAGCTATGATAGTTGGTCATTTCATGCTGTTAACATTATTTGATTGATTTGGAAAATGAGTAAGTTAATTAACATTGCAGTGTATTGTACTGTTTGGCATTTCCTGCTTTAAACCGTCCCGTGGAATTTCCGTTGAATTTGAAACAGTCACTTATAACGTCTATGACAACAGATAACAACATTCACACTACATGTTGACTAACTTTAACACCTTTTGGAGCAGATTGAAGGCTTCTACTTAATAAAATTTCCAACCTTTAAACAGAAAATCATTATCGCTCAGCGTTTCAGAAATAAACGCGTGTTATATATGAGCTTTAAAAATTTAAACCATCCAATGTACGATAAGAGGCATAATCCCACAGATTCTTGTGTAGGTATTTTTACTATCTGTTGGGGTGATCCGGCGAATTTCTCGCAAAAGACAAGCAAGGATCAGGAAACACTAAGATGCGTTTCGTCCAATCAGCGTTCACTTGAAGTTTTGACCAAAAATATCAAGGGGGCGAAACGTCACTTGCAGAGGTTCTGATTGGCTGATTACTACACTGCTACTATGTTTAGTAGCATTCCAGAATCTTCTAGCAACCCAAGGACATTAAAAATATTATGAAAACCCTGTATTTTCTGTATTGAAATGAACGTTGGGGTAAAGTACTTCTCGCGTACTTTGGGTCTTCTCTCTTGTTGTTCAGGTCGCTGTATAGTTCTAGCTTGGGGGTTACAGAATAACTTGGGAAACGAATATAGCGTTCAATCTGCAAGACTTTTCATTATCAAATCTTTATAATCCGCCGGTGTTGTGAAGACACTTCATTGGTTTGAAGGTCACGGTGTCTGACTTCATACATTACTTCATCATTCTCCACATGTATATCTATAAAATACTTCAAAAATAATAATATGCAGATGAAAGTCACACCATAAAATTCATAAGGATATTTACAAATGAAAGTGGAAATTTACATGGAATCCGAAAATCGATAAGAATTGGCCAATCAAGTTTATCATCACAATATTGAGCAACAATCACTCTGTGTTTTTGTTTCAATTGAACAGGTATTTTTATGAAACGTTTGTGAGATTTTGAATGAGTTTTTGTTCTCAGTGGTTGATCGACTAAACCATGAAATATTATGATATTATATGTTGTGTTGTCAGTTATTTCGCGAGTTTTCCATTTTGTTATAATATGTTTTGATCCTTTCTTCGCGAATTTTACACCGTAAAATATCTGTTTGGCTTTAAGTAAAACGTTAAAAGAATTGATTTAGGTACGAATACAAATAAAATTAAGATGATCAAGTAAAGTACAAGTAGCGTCATACGGAAAATGAAGAGACGTTGCATGAAAAATATCACACCGATTTTAAATAAGCATCACGAAGGATAACTAACATGTTGTCCAGTGAATTTAGAAACTATTAGCTTATTTTAAAAAAAATGTGTCGTTAGTTCCTCATCACAAGATTTCTTCTCTCAAGTTGCAGTGTATGTGTTTTTAATAAAGGTCACCATTTTCTCCTTTATTGACAAAATTGCAGTAGATATCTATTTAATCTGATATTACTAAATGTGCCTACGTAAAATTACAGTGTCTTGGTGAAATATGAAAATCATACACTAAATACATCATTTGCACATTTTCTTTGCGTTTTCCTTTACCTAACCGACTATTCCTCCAATTCTCTTGTTATTCCGACTCCTCTCTGGTTTCCTTTCTGTTCTCTTCAATTCAGTCTTCTGCTGACAGACATTTCACTTCCGATTGCGGATACATACTACTTATACCTGTCAGGACAAGTAGTATGCATTACAAATGTACATTACACAAATACGGTGTAACATAAATTATGGTTATGGCTGAAACCACTTTACGTAATTCGATACTTTAAATGGAAATTGTAAAAACGTTGTTCAAACGCATAAATAAAATTCGAGTTGCCATAAATTACTTGAGCCTGGAATGTTCTGTGAAACGATGAGTGATTGGAGAATGTGAACATCAAATGCCGTATAAAGTACAGTCCTATGAACAGAACGTTGGTGTGATTCATAAAAATGAAGATGAATTTGAATTTAAGTAGTTTCTGTTATCGACTTTATTAGTGCTATATCTAAAGGTGGACACTTATAGTTGAAGTAAAACTTTCTTTCTGAATATATCGAAGGACAGGTCTAATTACACACTTGCTGAAATTCAAAACTCCGTGAGTGATAAGATATGTCTTATCGGTGTAGAGAATTACAGTAGTACAACAAACGATCAAAAATATTTCAAATTAACGACTATCAACACTGGAAGACCATAGTTAAGACAAAAATCAGACATATTCATGATCGTTTGGTGCTAGTTACGTTGCTACGTTATTCACAAGAACAGCCAAACTCAAACCGTTTGGAGACAGATATGAATCGGTTCAGTATTGGGCTACACGGATAGATGGTTACGAAGACATTGAAACTTGATCGCATTTAGAATCTCACAAGCAGTTGAAAATAACATATTCTCTGTTCAATTAGATGTCACTCTATAAATAAGCATATGCACTTCAATAGAATGATGAAATAAACATAAATCAACTTACTCAGTGATTTGATTTTGACAAGAGTGGGTATTCCGAAATATCCTAGTTTATGTTTATCTGAACCTGGTAGTTGTGGATCATATGTTGATAAGATGAATTCGTATTTATTTTCCTTTTCGATCGCCAATCGAGCCGAACTTGCTTTTTCCAACAACAACATTTTCAATTCCTTAGTTCCACTGGGTAGAAATATGATGGTGTTTAACTTTTTATTGCACTTGTTTTTTTCATATCCCATTTTAATTTGATTCTTGTTGGTGATATTGTACGATATTGTATATTTTCGAACATCTGAGGTACTTTGAGAAGAGAGGGTGAGACAAACAAAAGATTACTGTGACACTACACATTCTTAAGGTGGTAGTTTCTGGAATTGAAGCTTCCACTTATGACAACTGAGAGTCAACTTTGAGCAAATCTAAACATTACTTTTAGTAATATTCAACTGTGAGGTCTATTCTCAGATTAATCTCAGTGTTTCATAGAGTTCCATTTTTCAAGGAACATGGTATTTATCACTGGTTACATTTCATATCATGAATAGATAAATTTTTCAGATCAATTGGAGAACAGAACTTGAAAATTTTTTCTTTCTTCGAAATCTTTAAGTATCACGTACTGGAACATCATTCAAGATGAAAGTCACAACCTTCTGTCTCTGTCTTATGTAGCGTGTCATTTATGTAATGATTTGAAAATCGCTAGTTTAATTGAATAATTCAATGCAAAATAATCAATACACTTATTTCAGAACTGGGCGACATTTATATAGTTTAAAATACTTTACAGATATTTCACAGCGTAATAGTTGTGTTAATTGTTATATGTTTCAGTATACGAACTGTGCGATTATTGGACGCATGTTAAAAGATTTATCAAATAGTAACTGTCAGTACAGTTACCAATAATAAATTCTGATTTTATAAATAGTAGTAAACATCACTTACTATAATGTAAATTATAATTACTGAAAAATAGATCTTTGTAGTATTCTCGAGTCATATATTTGAATTCATAATGGATGCACGTATCATTAGTTTTAATAGTGAGAGTATGTTGTTTAGCATCGACAGGATAATAAGTTTTGTCCTCATTAATTTTCTGCTGTATGAATAACAAAGGTTTCGAATAAAATCTCTGATTCGTCCATTGAAGGATTATTTCTCTGTCAGTGATCTGTTTACAATGCAAATTAATTTCACCACAGAAGCATTTGGCTGTAATGTAAAATAAAATAGGTCATTATAGCCAAAGTTTTGAACAAACGAATGAAATCTGCAAGAATGCTTAGTTCATCTTTACGTTGATGAGTCTATACGAATTACACAATTGACATAACTGAAATATGTGCTACACAAACTCATTATCGGCGGTTTTCATGTCCACTGGTGACCAGCGAAGGATTAAGTTAGAAAGAGGTTAGGGCAGTATCAAGGAAGATGTAGATTCAGTTCATAAAGTCACTGGATTTTTGCATGCTCCTGGTGACAGGTGTATATGCCTGAATATTTTCTGTGAAATATTCTTGATCAATTGTTGGACATCTAAAATCACAAATAGAGATAGGTTGCTGTGGAACAAATGCATAGACCATGTACATCCAAAATTCCAACCGACATATATTATGCAATGATTGAGTTTCAACCAGTGAACAGTGGAATCTAGTCATAGTATTAGGTAACATACAACAACAAACTATTGTAGCTGGAAAAAGTTCTCTCAAACAACTGATCAGTCAAACATCACCATTTTTCTCCTCTTCAATACTTTTATTTCAAAAGTAGGATTTTAACTGAGCAAGACAAATCTTATTATTAGTGTTGACCTGTAAAATCGTAATTATGCTTAAACAAATAGATCTACATTACTAGTATAGGGGTTGTGGAGATTATTAAGTTTTTGATTGAGATCATGAACCGATTGATGTTAGACCATCACAATTGAAAACCTGGAAGCACTGGACGGCCGTTTCGTCCTATTGTGGGACTCCTCAGCAGTGCGCATCCACGATCCCGCGAGCGGGGTTCGAACCCAGGGCCTTCGGTCTAGTGACTAGCTTCGTGAGGGAATTCTCGGAGTTCTAGTGAGAAGCCGTGACCAGTGGAGCTAATCCTTGTCGGGTAGAGACAAGTATCTACCTCAGTACAACGGAAGTTGGTCGCGCAATTTCGTGGATTGGTTGATGTTAGAAACTGTCACCATTGGATGCCGGCTCAGTGGTCCATTTGGTTAAGCGTTCGCGCGCGAGACCGAAGGTCCTGGGTTCGAATTCCGCTCGCGTGATCGTGGATGCGCACTGCTGAGGAGTCCCACAATAGGACGAAACGGCCGTCCAGTGCTTCCAGGTTTTCAATTGTGATGGTCTAACATCAATCGGTTCATGATCTCAATCAAAAAAAGATCTACATTAGTCAAATATCTCACAAAAACTAGCCGTGTTATCCATTCTATAGTAAAAATGATTACTTTGTAAACTCACATTCATAAACAGTGACAAATAAAACCAGAAAGCACAATGGTGATGACATTTTTGATTATAGCAAATGTTGACATTCAAAATCTGTTTATATACGGATATAAAATAATGTCGTTAATTATAACAACTTATGATCAGGTTATTTGACATAACTAGATATACTAATTAAATTGCCAATTACATCAATTTAACACATGAATCTGACAGGCATAAGCTTGTAGTGACTCACATTTATCACGAGAACACGACTGGTTTAATAAAATCAATTATTATTATAACCAACTGTACCAGTGTTTGTTTTAATGTGCTTTTGTTTGACTGTGCTAACGACAGCTATTTTGTGCTTCCTAGTCATGATCGAAAGCCTGATGCAGTCTTGATAGATGCTGATTTTTCTAATGATCCTTTACTCTGCAATGACATTCCTAATAAACTTGACGAAAGTGTTTCAGAAGAATCAAATCTTGATGTCATATCAAATATTATTAATCCTCATAATGAATTTGTTGCTTGTGGGAAACTTGTTCAATGTGAAGCACGAGTATTAAGTGAGCTCGATTTTGATTACAATTTGGATGATTTCATATCAACTGCTGTTTATCCTTATCACAAAGTCACTTCTCATGTTTACTCTAGTCAATGTGAGAAATATGTTTTAAATGGAGCCACATCGTTGATAACTTGGGGATATGAAGATCCAACATTATTTCGTGGGGGAGGATATGGTTAGAAAATCTATAGTTCGAATTCTAGGTAGCAGTGGTTTCAGTACACAACTGACATGCTGATTATGTAATCTCAGGAAGCAGGTGAGTCTGTTCCGATTTTGATTACTAATTCTAATATTAATTAGTGTATTCTAGATATTAAAGTTTTTATCCAATAGAATGTCGGACAGACATATGATGAACCTGAGAAGAAGTCGTACAACTGATTACAGATACCTAAACTCCAATTTAAGCCGTGGCGGATGTGGTGTTTGAATGAACTAATGATTCATTTGTACTTGTTGAATGTGTGATTTCGAATTCTAAATACAGTACATTCGTTTGTGGTTATCTAGTACTTTTTGATCCGATTACGTTATTTCTGGGATTCTTAGTTTATACTATAATTCAAATACCTCTAATTATCTTATAATGATACCTACAATGCAAATACTTTCCAACTCAGTTATCTTTAGGGTTGATGAAAGTAGATGTAGAGTTTGTTGTGTAACTTAATTAATTAATATTGACAACATGAGTTTTTTCAACGCAAAATATTCGATAAGTGGACTTATACTAGAAAATTTATAGTAGGTTGCATGTTCCACTAACAAGTCTATGTCTACTGACAGAACAACATGACTGAAAATTCGTATTAAACATCTCAAAGACTCCAGTAACTTACATGATTTTATTACGGGAATCATATCATAATCGTAGAATTTACTAACGATGTTTTACAGACTATTCACTTTGATCTTACTCCCGTATAGTTACCTATTCATTTCTTATAGATGTACCTTTGAACCATATGCGGATTCTCATTATATTTACATACAGATACGCGGATAATGTACATTTTTCCGATAAATTCTCATCAGGTACTATCTTGGCACATCCAAATTAACAATTAACAATAATGATTAAGGCAATTAAATCATTTAAAATTATATCATATGAATTTAGAATCCTTCAAATCCTTTAAGTTCGTTAGTTTTTGAAATTTTAATTTGCCGTTCATCATCTTACTTATTTTGTCGATTTGGTCACCTTTGCTGAGAAGAGGGACCCTTGATCTGTTATTAGGGTTTGTGATCAATAAATTCTCATCTTTCAGGAGCATGTTTATGGCTTTCTCGTGACTATTTGTGAGTGCTTCTTGCGTAATATTTGTTATCCTCCTACTTATTTTGATTTTTAATCTCATAACTTCACTTAACGTATAAACATTTTCATAATAACATTGTATATGAGTCATTTCAACATTAACATTAGTAATTTTATTTTACTTTACAAGCAACCCTACATTTATATGTTATAATGTATATATTTTGAGTTGTGAATCTTTTAAATACCAGAGGCGAATCCCTTAGCGATGAAAGAAGCGGATGTATATGTACAAAAATGTAGGTTCTGAGTCTGTTTCTGAAGTGGCCATGTACATATTTTCTTCCATCTACATTTCCACTGCTTATATTTTATCGAAAATTGTGCATCTGAGCAGTCTAACTTCCATTATCTCAAATATTTTGTGTAATTTCATGCATCACTTGACTTTTTATCTAAAATCTGTTGTGATCGACAACTACATTATTATTCCGCTCACCCTACGTTATGTAAGTTAACTGCCATCATTATTAAACGTACAGTCTGGGTCAAGTATACACAGAGTATCTACACTTCACTGATCACTGGGTTGTGATCAGTGTCGTGTTTGCCAAGTCCTTCTTAGTGCGAATCGAATTCTATCGACCAAGTTGTAATGCGGAGACTAGTCTAGGTGACTCGACATCTCGTGCACTGTGTTAAGTTGTTGGTTGGGGATAGTCAGTAGCGAACTCTGAACCTAGGTTTCGTGTTACAAAGATGTACCTGTGACCTTGAAAGAACTGATGGTATCATTTTATCTCAGCATAGTGCACACAATGTCGAATCATTTAGACTGGTGTCCACATTGCAATTTGGTTAACAGAATTCAATGTACACTAAAAAGGACTTGACACACATGAAATTGATCACTACCCAGTGACCAATCACTTGTAAATACCTCTCAGTCCTATCGAAGGTCAGTCGCGGCCCAAATGGCTCAGTGGTAACATCTCTGACTGTGTTGATGGGTGACACGAGATTGAATTGTGTAAATTTTTCTGATAAATCCTCTTCCTTCTGAGACAAACATTTTTTCAGTAAAATATAAACCAGAATGAAAAATTGTAGCACGAATAATTCCAGTAACATTGCCCATGACTCATTTAAAAATCTGTCCACCATAATTACCATCAAATGTGAATTGGTGTCCTTGGTGGTGGAGAAAATTTGTAGCTCAGGTCGATGACTTAATTGGAGTTTTATTCTCTAAGCTAGATTGTTTGTTCGTGGAGCTTTCATTGTTCTTCTGAACAACATCAAATAAATTTGATTCTTGGTCAATGGGAGACAAAATCAAAATAATTAAGTAGACAATGACAGGTTAAAGGTCAACAATAACCAAGCTATAATTTAGGTTTTCTTTAGTAGCAGTCTGCGTACACATTGTTGATAGAATTTCTAGTTTTAGTGAACTACAGATTTCTGTTTTGTACTTTGTAATCATAAGTAGGATTTTTATTTACACAGTTTCAGTTAATTTAACAATTTAATGATGTCATAATTAATAATATACGGTACTAAATCTATTATATTTCAAAAATTTATTGAGAAATACGAGTTGCATTTAATAAGCATAGACTAATTCAAACTATAAATAATAATTTTAGAGATTTTCCGTTTTTGACCGTTTTAGTTTAAACTAAGGAGGCAGGGATTAAGTGTTTCTTCCATTATTCACGTCCAAATGAACTTACAGTGAATCTTCAGTTAGATGAAAGAAGAATGACCCTATTTTTATGGTTAATAAAATATGTGAATATCTGTTTCCCACACGAAACGTCAAGTCTATTTAATGGAAAATAAGTGGTTTCAGAAACTTTTATGATAGTATATAAACATTTCACAGTATACTGACATTGAATATTAAACTAACTTTCAACAAATCAGGAAGTTATTCGGACTGTTAAAGTATTGTCTACATATTAGAGTGTAAATATAGTAATAGATGTCAGTTATCTCATCAGTAAGCAATTTTGATCAAAAGAATAGGATAACCATCATCACTTACTTCGGTTTAATTTATAATGACTATAAGACATAATCGTGCTTGTTTCTGGAACTATATAGTTAAACTAATAAAATATATGTTCATCGGTAGTATTAACAGTAAGGTTATTATGTTTGGCAGTCACACTATCGCAAGATTCTCCTGTATTAATAGTCTTTTCATATATGTAAAAGGATGATTTCGAATAGAAACTTTGATTTTTTCAACTCAATATGATACCGTTCTCATTGAATTGTTCGCACTGTTAATTTATATACCGGCCAAATCATGTAACTATATGGAATACAGAAATAATAATATAATAAAATATTGTTGTCGTTCAAGTTGTAGATTAATGACTCAATATTTTCTTATTTTTACTATATTCCAGTGGTCATACCGTATATGTTGTGGTGGACCAAATAAAAACATATAATAATCATTGTTTGAAAAGTATACTCATTTCCCGTCATTTGTACAATTTAAGAAATTAAACACAGATTATTATTTGTATAGCCGTTTTGAGCCAAATGTTTTCATGTATAATAACTAACATTTTTAAAATTCATCTAAATAATTCACTCACAACGGTCACTTGGTTCAAGAGTTAGCATACTTAGGATTAGTAAAAACATTAAATGTTTGAAGGTGTTTAACACATCTGTGGTATTTATACTAACTGATGATTCCTTTGTACTTGATTGTGCGCTGGCTAAGAATTCTAAATATAATACGTTCAGTTGTGCTCATCTAGTTCTACATTCCCTAAATAGCACTATTTCGGGAATTTTTAGTTAGAACGTAAATTCTGATACTTCTAATTATCATAATAACCCGATGTTTTGAACTATAGTCTATATTCTCAAAAAGCCGTCTTCAACAACAAATATTCATGTCCTTTGATTTTCGACCACGAGGACTTTTTTCTTTATAGAAGTTGTTATTAAATAACTGCGCAGTTTCTGATCGTTTGATTTCAGAAATACAAAATATATATGTTTATGGCTGTCTGTGGTGTTTGTATGGAATAACAAGTTCTTTACACATAATTATGTGCTTTATTTATTTATTCAAATTCAATACATTAATGTGTACTCACAATTAAATAAACATAACTCCAAACTTGGTATTTGTACCAATGTAAATCATTCCCGTTTTGTGACGTCAGATGTTTTAAATATGCTATACGCCCTACTACTGTATGTTTCA